CATCGCCTGCCGAGGGACCACCGCTGTTAAGAAAAAACCTTTTTTCGATATTTTTGCGATGTTGCTTTCACCAGGGTTTGAACCCAGGTGCTGCGGAGTGAAAGCGTGCACTGCTTACCACTACGCCACAGCGGCCGAAATTTCTTTTAGCACCGTTTATCTTTGTAAATATGTGCATATATATTTAATTATTTACTTACGAAAAAGGCGCCAAAATTGATAACATGAATATTAGAGTGGTTAAAATTTTTTTTTGTGATAAAAAAGAAACGTGTTTTTTTTATTTTGAAAAAAAAAAAAAAGTTTTCTTAGAGGTCGCGCTGACATGTTAAAATGCAGCTAAAAATGTGGTTTTTACATATAATTACTCTGGTATTATTGGGGAACATTCCCTTAATTACATACCTGTCTTGGGCAGTTAGAATGGGCCTAGTGCCCGAAAATATGCTCTCGAAAAGAGACTAGTAATATTTCATATTTCCAATACGAATGCACTGAGGATAAACTTTTGCATACTGTTTTTCTTTTATTGATCCTCTGTTCTAAGCAACAACACAACCATTTAGCTTTCTAATCGAAAAAAATAGAAAACACGATCGATACGCTCAAAGTGCCAAAATATGTTGGCAAAAAAAATTGACTACTTTCATTTTATTTTTAATAGTATTTACATTTAAAACAAAAAAGGCAATTCAACTCAAAAAAAGTTCGGAAGATTACGTTTGCGTCTTAGTAATTAATTGTTGATCCTTTGGCTTGTATAACAGCGGCGCATCTTCGGGGCATGGAATTCACCAGTCGTTCACACTGCTCCTTCTTGATGGATTGCCAAATCAACTGGACTTTCCGCCATAAATCCATTTTATTAGATGGCTTAGGCATTTTAGTGAGCTCTCGTTTCACAATCCCCCATAAATTCTCAATAGGATTGAGATCTGCGCTCTGGGAAGGCCATTCCAGTACGCGAATATCCTCATCACGCAGCCATTTTTTTGTCGCAGCAGCCGAGTGCTTGGGATCGTTATCCTGTTGGAAGCGCCAAATTTTCGGCATCTCCTCTGTAGTATAAGGCAACATGACATTTTGCAAAATATCGATGTATTTTGCCGAATTCATTATGCCGTCGATTCGGTACAATGGCCCAACACCATAGTATGAAAGACAGCCCCATACCATTATATTTCCGCCGCCGTGTTTCACGGTTTTTTTTTGTAAACCGCGCTGTCAGTTCTTTCCGTGGAGGTCTGTGAACATAAGTGCGGCCATCGCTACTAAAAAGATTAATTTTGCACTCGTCAGACCACAGAATATTTCGCCATTTACTGTTAGGCTCATTCATGTTTTGTCTGGCAAAACACATTCTTTTTTGGATATTGGTTTTGGTTAAAAGGGGAACATTTTTAGCGATGCGCCCTGGTAAATTTGCGATAGCTAAGCGAAGACGAACTGTTCGAGAACTGATGGGAAGGTCTAAAGCGTTTTTAATTTCCTTAGAAGTAGCAAATGGCTTCGATTTCGACATACGGACGAGAGCGCGGTCTTCTTTAATGGTCGTTTTTCGTGGTCTTCCTCGTTTTTCTTCGGTGTTACTTTTGCTTTTAAGTGCATTACTTACTAAGTGATCAGAACGTTTAACTATTTCAGAAATTTTTTTAATTGTATAACCTTTTTCTCGACGGTTTTCAATAATTTTTTTTTTCACTTTCGGTGCAATGTCCGCGGCGTCCCATTTTACAAACTCATTATTCAAAAGCAGATTAGTAACTTACGTTGCATTGCAAAAAATTCCTCTATTAGTAAATCGGTTCGCTTCTAACAGTTTTAAGGAGAAAATAACGGCGTTTTTCCATTTCAAATGTGATGAGTCTATTGTTTTTGCCAACTGGTTCTGGCATTGGAAGTGTTCGGACCGTGTTTTATCTTATTTTTCATTGGGGAGCTAAATGTTTGTGTTGTTGCTAAGAACACGTGATCAATACAAAGAAACATGTGTGTACAACAGTCCATCATCAATGCATTCAAATTGGAGATCTGGACGATGGAGTGCATACAATGGCTCAGAGTCTATTTTTTTGCCACCAGTGTATGTATATATGTAACAAAATGGAATACAAAATTTAGGGATATTAGAAATCAATAAGGTTGCCCATCATGGCCAATAACTTACATACAATTAATGGAAATATTTTTTTCTTCATGATTGTATACATTAACTCTAAAACTACTGTTATACCTGTTTTTGCATTAATTGCATTGAATCTGTGCGATCCACAAGCAGTTAAATTCCTCTCTATGAATTTTGAGTTAGCTCACTTTAGATCTAGGTGTGCGATATGGCAACACCAGGGCTGATAGGGTACAGTTTTTTTTGGATCAAATATATTGAAAATTCATCGTTATTTTGCGTTTTTTACAAGAAAAAAAATTGAAAGGCTATTATATTGGTAAAAAACTAGTTTTGATTTTGTGTATTGATTGAGATTATTATATATAGGTCTGATGCTAGCCAAGTTATGCTGTTTATCAGGCCCGCGGAGTGACCTACAGTTTTACGCCGACTCCGAACGGCGATTGTATTTTTATGAGAAGCTGTTTTTCATGGCAGATATACACTCGGCGGTTTGCCATTGCCTTCCGAGGGACGACCGCTGTTAAGAAAAAATTTTTTCTATATTTTTTGTGATGTTGCTTCGACCAGGCTTGAACCCAGGTGCTGAGGAGTGAAAGCGCGCACTGCTTACCACTACACCACAGCGGCCGACGCGGGGTATATAAATGTTAAATATTTCAAGCTCAACATCGTCAAACTGGAAGGCTATGCTCTGACATTCTGGGGTGGGGCCCCGGGTCTATACCTTCTTCGATGACACGATATTGCACAGTGTAATATAGGATTACCGCTAGACCTCCACCATTGTCTTCCTCGCGATCTCTGCGGAGGATGTTGTAGCCGTCAGAACTCAACAGAGTGAAGTAACTTTACAACTGCGTTTCCTGGATCGCATCTTTCAGTATGCCATACCGACCCATAGAGACGGTTATCTCTTCGATCTTGCTATGGAGTCCATTGCAGACTGAAGCCAAGTTTCCGCATTTCGTGTTTTGACACACGTGTGACTGTGTGATTAGCAAAGAGGTGCTAGTTAACCCTCACACGGGAATTGTGGTCCACTCCCTGTGTGATCTAAGGCCTGAGCAGTTTTCTATACGAGAGCCACCGTTTACAGGTGTTGCACCTAACCGAAGTGGAGTTCGAATGAAGGCGTCACTGGCAAACTCAGAAGAAATAGGTTTCTGGGCCAGAGTTGGTCCCAATTCTCGGCCGGAGAAGAAGGATGCGCAGCAATCCGGCTGCAAGGTGTTTTACTATCAACGAAAAACAGGGTTAGGTCGCCGAAACTATAGTTTTTGGTCAGGAAAACCCTGAATAATTCCGATATGAAGAACCGGCTTTCGTGGGTATTGAGTGCCACCGTAACCTTCATCCCTTTCACCACCTTCATCACTGCTCATCCATTCTTCTGGTGGTTCGATGAATATCCTAAGCAGTGTTGCCGCGGCTCATTTTTAGTGGTAGCCAAATTCCTTTAAAAAAAAGGGCTAAAAAGGAGCTAAAAGAAGGGGGGTGTAGGAAAGATTCTAAGTTTGCAGTTTCTGTACATATATTAATTGTGGGTTAGACTTTTATATAAAATCAATCAAAAAATTATCAATGAAAAGAATAGGCGAAACTGGTCAAAATGTCTCACTGCCATTACTTCGCATATAGGTACATACATATGTGTGTAAAAATGTGAGAATAGCTATATTTCTCAGAGTATTTCCCCTCCGTAATTGGAATTCTGTGTAATTTTACTATGAATTTATGTACATATATGTATGTCTAATAGTAGCCCACGATGCTAAATCGGGATTTACTCGAGCGGCATTTGGACCTATTGGATTTTGTAGGTTATGTGATGGGAAGCAAAAAAGGTCATGTGAAGTTTTTCCTTACAGCGGTGGGTGGAGGAACTACAGGCTTCCAAAAATGTAAAAAAAAAAAACAGTTACATGGATTTACTCGAGAGCGTCAGGTATTGATAGTGAATGGATCAAACGGGTTTCTGATGACGGTTGCATGGTGGGGGTGGGCGTACGGAAGGGTCAAAAATGGGTGACAAAAAAATTTACTCGAGCGCGTCAGATATTCATAAGTGATGTTGAATGCGCCCGAATGAACGTCCCATTCAATAATCTGACGATTCAGATGTGACGCAAGCTCGTGGCGTCTTCTTGAAGATGCAAAAAAAAAAATCGCCATTTGGATTTACTCGAGCGCGTCAGATTTTCATACAGAAGGTTCATCTCGATGCCCTGGTCGTGCTGTTCCATAATATGGCGATTATCTGGAGGGGTTTTCTTAATCTGACGGTTAAAACTAATAATTTCGTAACAAAACATATTAAGAAAACATAATATAACTGTAAATACTTATTATTTTATCCGTGCAACTATTGTTGACTTTTTTTAAACGTGCCCTTTATTGGTATTAGAATTTAAGTAATATTTAATATCAGATATTCAGTGATACTTTAGCTACGTTAAAAAACTTGTCTTTGTCTCCCTAATGCCAAAAAAGCCAATGCCAATACTCGCCTCTCAATTGTGCGGACTTCTCCCGATTTCACATAGCAAAGTCGAACAGCCAATCAGCGATCGCCACGATGACAGTGAGTTTGAAGTCGTTAGCAAACGTCAGAGGCCAAAGACGTTGCCGGATCTTGCAACACGTCCCCCTGGTGTATCCTGGCTAGGTTCCAACAGTGCTTTTAAATCAAGAACGGCTAGTTTCGTCGCAGGCCTTTCGTGCAAGGCAGTTATGGTTTTAATGGTTGCGCTCCTTACTTGTGCGTCAACACTTCGGCGAACATCGATTACTCGATCCTTTGGCGAACAGTTGCAGGGACTATTTGGGTCTGCGATAAGTACGACGTCTCCAACTTCGATGGGTTTTACATTTTCGAACCACTTAGATCGTCGCGTAATGATAGGGAGATATTCCTTTAGCCATCGCCTCCAAAACGAGTTATCCAACTGTTGTGAGGCCTCTCTGCGTAGAGGCTGGTCAGTCCATCAGCGGTGATCTCCGACATGGGCTTGGAACTGACTGAATTGCCGAGGAGAAAGTGATTAGGCGTCAGTGCTTCATCCTCGTAGTCGGATATCGGAACATATGTTAGGGGCCGAGAGTTAACCACCATTTCAGATTCCATTAACTCAGCACGTAATAGTTCGTCACTAGTAGTTCTTCCTCTCAATATGGAATATAAAACATCTTTTACGGAGCGTACTAATCTCTCTCACACACCACGCCGCTGGTGGAATGAACTTCCAAGTCATTTTAAGACTGGTAAAGGTTATGATGATTTCGCTTTTATCCATTAGGTCTAAAACGACTTGCAATTCCCTTTCCGCACCCTTAAAATTTGTGTCATTGTCACTCCAAAACTCTACCGGATTACCTCTTCCGGCAATAAAATTGCGTATAGCAAAAATGCATGAGTCCGCTGAAAGAGTGCGAGCGATTTCGATATGGATCGCTCTTGTCGTGAGGCAGGTGAACAATACTCCGTACCGTTTTTCGCTGCTTCTCCTTATCGATACCAAGAGCGGGCCAAAAGAGTCGACCCCGACATACGAAAACGGCCGGTGGAAAGCAGCGACTCTAGCAGGCGGTAGATTGCCCATCCTAGGCGGTTTGGGTCGCGCGCTGGTTATTTTGCAATATGGACATCAGCGTTTCACCTGATTGACAAGCACTCTTAGCCGAGGTAGCCAGTAATATCGTCGGACGTAGTTTACCACCGTTTCTGGATTTCTATGTTGATATTTAGCGTGAATATCGGACACGATCAGATATGTTATATATTGATCTTTGGGAAGGATAACTAAATCGTTCTTCTCGCTCGGGCTTAAGCGTTAACCGAGACGTCAAAAGGTTGCTGCTATCTAGATACGGAGATAGTTTGTAGATCGAACTAGACCGTTCCACGTACCTCCCGTCTTTGAGCGAAAATATTTCATATGTGAAGGTGTCAAGCTGGGCCTGTTTCCACAGCATTATTTCAGCCAGCTGGAAGTCTTCGGTGCGAGATGTACGATAGCTAGCTTCTATCTTTCGAATGCTTTATTCTGTTCAACCAAATTCTGGCACAATAGATAACTGCTGCGGTCATGGTAAGGAGACGGCGTCAGGATGAATATCGATTTGCATCTAATTTGATGAATTCGTTTAGCTGCCTTTCGTGATGTACCCAGGGTTCGGAAATATTCACTCACCTTCGTACGCGAACGCGAAGGTGAACGTATCAAATATTCTGTATTGATTCTCCTTCGCGAACGTGAAGCATAAAACCAGTCCAGATAGTTCGCGTTCGCGAATGTTAGGTAGAAAAAATTCCCGCTGTTGTTCGTACGCGTATGTATTGGTGGACCAAACAGCGTGCGTTCATATATGTAGCTATAAGTGGCAGCGATGCCTTCGCGAAGGTTCACTGCTGTCGTTCTCCTTCATAAATGAATGAAAATGCTGCGGCAAATATTCGCGGAAAGTTGGTGTGGCTAGAGATACTATTCTGTGCGAAGGCAATTTTGTTAATTGCATAAGATTTGCACCGTTCATTCGATTTTCAAAAATGAGGTGTCAAATGAAAGGGCTTGACCTCTGGATGTGCAGAAAGGATATATTTTTTTAATAGGGTTGCCACCTCGTTTAAAATTATGATATTTACACCGTTCTCCCGATTTTCAAAAATGAGGTGTCAAATG